TTTCCATATATTTTGCGGATAGAGGAACCCAGCTTTCCGCCACATATGACCGGCCCTACGTTGGTCGGCAAATAGTTGGACAACTTTGTTATAAGTTGTCTTAACTAGCGCGGTGCTCGGAAGTGTTTGACATCCCTTTAGGACTTTATTGAAGCTCTCGGAAAGATTTGTTGTGAGGATACCGTAACGTTATTGTACTTGACATTGATTCCGAATTTGTCGTATATGTATTGCATCACGAGTTTAATGTTGTAGTCCGGATCAACATGCACTTTTGTAGCGATTACACTTGCTATGATCTTGCTCGTCATCAGCCTGTCATTACGGGCTCTTTTATAATCCACTCTGCACTTGTGTAGTGATTGATATTTTTTCACCTTCCACAAATTGGTGTTGATAAGGTTTCCAGCCTGAATGTGTCACATACACATGTCATCATAGATGCAATTTGCCTTCATTGATTGTGTCCTTACTAGATCGCATTGGGGTTTTTATGATCCGGGTCAAAAATTGTGAATCACAAGTATAAATATTAAAATTCCATCTATATGTTAAGTAAATCGTTGTCAATTTTACAACTTGTGTTCATGATATAGGCTGATTACATTTCAAATGATTGTATCCTTACTGGGTCGAATTGGGGTTTTCATGATCTGAGTCTAAAAAATGTGAATCACAAGTGTGAATATTAAAATTTCATCTATATATTAAGTAACTCATGGTCAATATCACAACTCGTGTTCACGATATAGACTAATTGCATAAACTTTGGATGATTGTATCCTTACTAGGTCGAATTAGGGTTTTTATGATCCGGGTCTACAAAAAGTGAATCACAAGTGTGAATATTAAAATTCCGTCTATGTATTAAGTAACTCGTGGTCAATTTTCACAACTCGTGTTCATGATATAGGCTTATTGCATAAACTTCAGATGATTGTGTCCTTACTCGGTTGAATTGGGGTTTTTATGATACAGGTCTAAAAAAAGTGAATAAAAAAGGTGAATAAAAAATTTTCATATATATATTAAGTAAATCGTGGTCAATTTCAGAACTCGTGTTCATGAAATAGGCTGATTGCATAAAATTGGGATGAGGTGTCCTTACTGGGTCGAATTGGGGTTTTTATGATCCGGGTCTAAAAAATGTAAATCACAAGTGTTAATATTAAACTTTCATCTATATATTAAGTAACTCGTGGTCAATTTCACAACTCGTATTCATGATATAGGGTAATTGCATAAAATTTGAATGATTGTGTTCTTACTGGGTCAAATTGGAGGTTTTATGATCCGGGTCTAAAAAATGTGAATCACTAGTATGAATATTAAAATTCCATCTATATATTAAGTAAATCATTGTCAATTTTACAACTCGTCTTCATGATATAGGTTGATTACATTTCAAATGATTGTATCCTTACTGGGTCGAATTGGGGTTTTTATGATTCGGGTCTAAAAAAGTGAATCACAAGTGTGAATATTAAAATTCCATCTATATATTAAGTAACTCGTGGTCAATTTCACAACTTGTGTTCATGATATAGGCTGATTGCATAAACTTCGGATGATTGTGTCTTTACTCGATCGAATTGGGGTTTTTATGATCCGGATCTAAAAAAAAATGAATCACAAGTATGAATGTTAAAATTCCATATATATATTAAGTAAACCGTGGTCAATTTCATAACTCAGGTTCATGAAATAGGCTGATTGCATAAAATTCAGATGAGTGCATCCTTACTGGGTCGAATTGGGGTTTTTATGATCCGGGTTTAAACATGTGAATCACAAGTGTTATTATTAAACGTTCATCTATATATTAAGTAACTCGTGGTCAATTTCACAACTCGTGTTCATGATATAGGGTGATTGCATAAAATTCGAATAATTGTGTCCTTACTCGGTCAAATTGGAGGTTTTATGATCCGGGTCTAAAAAATGTGAATCACAAGTGTGAATATTAAAATTTCATCTATATATTAAGTAACTCGTGGTCAATTTCACAACCCGTGTTCACGATATAGACTGATTGCACAAACTTCAGATGATTGTGTCTTTAATGGGTCGAATTGGGATTTTTATGATCCGGGTCTAAAAAAGTGAATCACTAGTGTGAATATTAAAATTTCATCTATATATTAAATAACTCGTGATCAATTTCACAACTCGTGTTTATGATATAGGCTGATTGCATAAATTTCGGATGATTGTGGTATTGGTATAACTATGATGTTGTAGAGATTTAAATAGATAAATGTTTAGGTTAAGGGTGTGGACTGTCGTACAAAAAAAGGATGACACTCCATCCCTAAGGGTCCCCAACACCGACCGGACGGTACATTGGAAAAGTGTAAATTGGACTGTCGTACAAAGACGGATGGTTGGGGGGTGTGTACTGTCAGTGCAAAGATGGATGGTTGGGATGAATTTATTAGATCCTAGGGCTGAAAATAGAGATTAAAAAAGCACAATCCATGTGCATTATTTTTGTCCAATCAGGAAGAAGCTTTGTCTGGCAATCTACGTAAGGCATGTAACAAACATATTAGGATTTGCTTAATCCGAAAAAAGAAGCTCCTGACAAATAGTAAATGTCATGCACTATTATCTGCCGCTATACCTCACTGTCTGTGCCCAAAACTGAAGAATCCGAATAAACCCTAAGAAAGTCGGATTCCGGAACCACGTTTCCCGTAATATTGTACCCTAACTCTGACATTCGTAATTTGGGAACAGTTCCATAGTACTCTCGTAAATCCATCCCTTTCTTTGAATTGAAGCATGTGTAACTGTTTTCTCGTTACTCGTGGATGTTTTGTACAAAAAAACATTTTTAGTCGCTCAAGTAATTCATCGGTTGAGTGGTGGGTAAGATGGAACATTGATCAAGAATCAAAATCAGCAGCAACCATGTGTAAGTTACAACCACGGCGGACGTAAGAATTTTCGATTGGTGGGGCGACAGTGTAAAAAATACATATAAATACATGCATATATATATATTAAAATTTCGGGGGTAAATATACCTAGAAAAAGAAAATTGGAGGGGCGGCAGCCCCCATTAACCCCTGCATATGTCCGCCGCTGATTACAACTCCTTTGTTCCGGGATAGACCTTTGGTGCACATGTGTACAAGGTCTACCACCATTGAACTGACTGATTCAATGTGATTTACATCTTCCCAAATATCATGTCGGGTCAAGGAGTGGGAGACCCATGAGTTGGGGGATTCAATCTTTTGAACATCAGTTGTTATACCGTGGGAACGGTGCAGCGTGAGCATCCTGCTCCCACATTTATATGAAATGTAAATCTTGTGAATTAAGATGTAACTTTAGATTAATCAAAATGTAAATTACACTCATTGAAATGTAACTCGTTGAAATGTAAACTGCTTAAATTGAAATGTAACTTGTTGAGGTAGGTCAAAATGTAAAAACTTAAGTGTAACTTGGTACAAACTGTAATGTAAGTTCGGTTAAAAGAAATGTAACATAAGGCATATTGAAATGTAACTTAACACCAATAGAAATGTAAGTTCTCATATACTCCATATACTCCAAATATATCAGCCATGCTTGAACCTACGTGACTAACGACAAACTCGCCAGCAAGACCACAACCATGGCTGGAGATGGAGACATCTATAACACCAATTAGTGCTCCAATCGTCATGTGTCTGCTAGCAGGGGAGCCTCTTCCTCACAGTGGGGTTCAAACCCATCTGCGCACATGAGGAATTAAACGAAATCAAATCATCGCAGTAGGTGGAGATGGGATTTCAACATCGATCCAGGGTTGCGCGAAAATTCACTGCGGCGCCGCCCCTCAACTCGGAAAAAGACGGCCATCTGCGACTGAAGGTCCGAAGGATGCAAGTTGAGCAATGAACGAAGTGATGCAGGGGCGGAGGAGGATTTATATTTTTAACTAAAACGGTACCGTTTTTGGGATCGGCACACCATGCGCACGGTGGGCCAATCCCACGGTATAATTTGCGTTTGAACATTGTATATACAAAAAGCATCTTTCGACACCCATATATGTTTAAGAGTTTTACTTGTTTTGGGATTAATTTTAGTTATAAAACAAGATCTTGAACATATAATAAAAATGTAATAGAATAAATTAAAGATTAATATTGTTCACAAATAAAATTTGTAAGAGTATCATTTTATACAAATTTTGATACCTGACATCTACATAAATTATATGACAATCCTAACCTATTCTTGATGTCCACAACAAGACAAGTCAAGAAGTATATAAACACATTAGCCCCTTTAATAATTGTAAGGGTATCATTTTAAACAAATTTTAATACCTGGCATCTCCATATTGGACGTTATTTAGGGAAATAAAAGAATGTTCTCAATTATTTGTCTACTTCTCTCTCAAAGCATAAAACCTTCTCAGGCTCACTAAAAAGTAAAAATATTGTGTTGTGTGAGATGCACAGATGCATCTCACAGGATGAAGGTCCGAAGAAGATTCCCACCGCAAGGGTGCGTAGGGAAAAGTTTTCTTTCTCAAATTTAACAAGAGACCGCTATCAAGACTTGAATTGAACGATTGTTTTATGTTAGTTGTTCTTTGCTCGTAGAAGTAAAAAATGTGAATTTGATGGAGTATATTCCCATATACCCATGAGTATCGTAGTCGACGGATAAAGACTCTCAGACATCTCAAACACTTAAGTTCAGAGGCTAGCTATGTTTCTCTTTTATTTGAAGCCATTTCATTTTAATTAAAATATGAAACTTCCATGGTACACGGTAAAATAGTTTCTATATTACAAAAACAAAATTTATGGATTTTACTACGTATATGCTATTATGGATTTTTATATGAAACTTTCATTTTATGCGTAGTAGATAGTACTATGTATATGCTATTATGGATTTTTATAGGTTTGTCAAAAATATTACAAAAACAAAATTTATTTACAATAATATTACTACGTACTAAGTTACTATGTGTACTGTGTCATGATCATTTTAGTATAAAAATTGAACATAAATTAATATGAATAAAATCACCACTATAATCACGACACAAAAGATTGAGATCACATTTTTATAAACAATCTCTATTTTAATCTTTTTTTTTATTATAGTTTGTAGGGACAAAAGTAAATTTTACATTTTAATAAACCTACACTAGGCCCTACCTCTTATAAAAGACTTATTCAAGATGTCGGACACGCTTGACGCTCCATATATCGATCTACATCCATGCACCTTTATGTGGGGGTTGCTTACAAGTTACAACAAAGGCTGGTTTCCTTTTTGAGAAGACCGGTGGTGGAGCAACGGGGTGGTATTCCGGTCAACATAATGGAGCATCAACACCATGCACAGAGAGGTAACAAACATAGGAATGGGACCGAAAAACCAGAACAACAAAGTGATGGCAAAATAAAGAGACCTAAGTCCGAGCGACCAAAACTCTCCTCCTCTTATGACGGCCGTCTCCACGTAGCTGATCGGCATATCGGTGTCCGGCATGCTTATCAGATAGTTGGCATGCAGGAAGTTCCTTGACGCTTGAACGAAGCACGAAAATCCGAGCAAGAAACATACAAGGAGGCTTATGTATTTCACTCCCATGGTTTCTGGCCTCGTGTCACCGTAGATTAGGTCACTGCTGAAGATGGTGCTGGAATTGTTGCTGGCCATCCATGTCCCGATCAGCGAGCTTAACGTTAGGGAAACGGTTGCGAGAAAAGTCGCTCCGGTGTTGTTCGAGGATAAAACCTCGAGAGCGGTGGAGACGACGGTGGCGCTATTGCTGCTCTTATCGGACGACGATGATGATGAGGATGACGATTGCATGATCTTTTCAACCCATGCTCTCTTGTCGTTGTTTTCAAAGCCAATGACTGTGGTGTGAGGGGTGTAAAGGTATCTATAGAGCAAAAAGAGATGATAAGCAAACATGAAGAGGAGGCCTGCCGGGACTAGCCACAAGTCAATGTATTTCTTTTCTAATAATAGGAACACCATTACTGTTTGTTATTCCAATGTTTTTTTTTTATTATTCTTATTAGAATCTTCATGGCTAGCTTTAATTTAAAGGAACCAAATTTGTTAGAAGCAAGCTAAGACTAGCTTGGCGTGAATGGCTTGTCAAGTCCACGTACCACACTTAATTATTAGGCCGGCCTCTGGGTTGCTTTGAGCCGTTGAATATACATACATTCAAACGTACACATTCTCTATTCTTCTCTAGTTATAACATTCTCGTTTTTGGAGAATTGCCGATATACAACTTTGAACGTCATTATATTTATTTTATAATTATTGGAAATTCATTAAAAATAAGATTATGAAAATTTGAATTCAACAATCAATATATTTAAAAAAAATCATAAACTAATAAGTAAAAGGCCATTAATTTAATTTAATGGCTAAAACTTTGAACCTCTTATAATCAACTTATCACAAGAATACCGAAGGCATATACTAGCTTCGTCCCGTTGGAAGGTTCACATAGCAAAATGACACAGTTATTTAGGCAATAATTAAATAAACTACTTCGATTGTTAATTGTTTAATATTTAATGATTAATTTATAACTTAAGATTGTTAATTGTTTCCTAAAATGGAAATGAGAACCTTCTAACGGGACGTCCAAAAAAGGAAAGTGAGATCCTTCTAATGGGACGGAGGGAGTGTCATTTCATAATGATGAATTTATCTTGGTCATCAAATAGAGTAAAAGAAATAAAAAATTAAAATTAAGAATAATACATATCTAGGGTGAAATTTTATTAATAAAAAATTAAGAATAATACATATCTTTGGTGAAATTTTATTAATATTTTGACATGGTCGTAGAATTAAAAATAATCGTTCATGATAATGAGAAAAAAATGATATTGTTTTCAAAATTGGAGTGTATGTAATGGGAAATTTTAATGCTACCTCCGATCCGTTCGATTTTATGTACGGAGTATCATATATATTTGGGTTTGACACAAAGAATAATAAAGTGATTCAAAAAATAAAATTGGTGGTTGAGATTTGAAGACTACTACCAACCATATCTTTCTTTCCAAAAAAAATTGACACTTATTTTGAGACAATTTAAAAATGAAAGTAGGACAAGAAAAATGGATAAATGACTATACGAATAGAAAAATAATGATAGTCCAAAACATGCATTATTTACTCCATTAGCCTAATTTAGAACATTTTCTTAGAAATCCATTAATTTTTATACGGAGTACTACCAATGGACAAGCACCTTGTATTAATTATCGGCCAGCATGTAAAGTAGGCATAGCTAGTAGTATTCAGCACGTTAAATAAACGTAACACGTTTGGTTTGGTGTCTATTTCTCAAAAAGTTAGCAATTAAGATGTATTTTCTCCGTCCCGGATAGAACTTGAAGTTTGTTTTTTATACGATATCTTAGGAGCTCAATTAATAGAAGAACAATGTCTTGCAAGCCCTTTGATTTTTAGGTGGAATTAATGATATCCATTCAAATGTAAAAAGTGAATGAGTAGTGAAAGGTAGTTAGGACATTTAATGTAAAAGAAGTTACCTAAAAATGAAATATAAAGGAGTAAGTGGGACGTCCCAAAAGAAAAGTGTACAGATTTAAATGGGACATAGGGAGTATTACCTTTCTCCCAAATTGTTTTGTAAAGTTAACTCTGTCAATCAATGTTAAAGTTAAATTTTCCTTATTAATAATTAATTTAATATCAATAATTAAAATTTACATATACAGAATCTATATTGGAATATTTATACAGTTGCAAAATTCAAATTAAAATTTAAGTAAGAATAAAAGGAATCTATTTGACTAAAAAACTGAAAAAGTCAATTTTACAACTCAATTCGTGATGGAGAGAGTACTTATTTGGAGTAGAATTTTGTGATTCAGTCTGATCTAGTTTAGTTTTGTTTGCTTAAGTCAGTTATGATCTTATTTGTTTAAGTTTTGTATGGTCTAGTTTGAACTGGCTTGAAGTAATAATCTAATAGGTGTGTGTTCTCTATATATGTACTACTACAAGTAATAATCTAATAGGAGTAGTATTTTACAAGTACCGAAGTCTGGTCTAGTCTATTTATGTCTAATAGTTTGTTCTGATCTCATATGGTCCGTTTGAAGAGTCTCATTTAGTTTTCCAGGACAAGTTTGTATTAATTATAATCAAGATGTGAAACTAAAATTAAGCCATGTCAAAACATGTAGCTGACATGAAGTATTGATAAAAATATATGGAGTATTACATACTCATCCGTATTCTCCGTATGTATATAAGTGATGGAAGGAGTAACAAAGAAAGATCCAAAAGGATGACGTTGCGGGTGACTAGGTACCTGTAAAAACTGAAATTTGAACTATTTTTTGCTGATTCAAAGTGCAGATTAAATTTTTTTAGTTCAGACACTGAATTGAACAAACACGACCGATATAAAGACCTATTTGACTCTAACTTTATTATTAGTACACTTGATTAAATGCATATACTACACGTCCTCAATCAGAAATCTAACGGTTGTAGGCTTGTAGCAATTCCTGTTTCATTTCATATGCAAATATCGAGGTTCCACTTCTACCATGAAAACTGTCTTCGGAAGTTATATGAATCATAATCCATTTCAATGTTCCCCTTCAGTCCTTTTCACTCAATATAACAAAACCATCACATATAATTACGTCATAAGGTAGCTTAAATTAGCATTTTTTATTAAGATGTGATTCCATTAATATAATCATGCTTGTACTAACACGATTTTATTACAAATCCGTACATAAGTTTTGCAGAATACCCACAGAAAGGATAAGAACAAGAGAAAAAAAGGAAGAATGCCGCCCTCCGGCCTGTGCATGTATATATACCACAAAAGCTAGTCACATTTAAAGCTTACAGTGCGGACCTTGAAATTGGCTCTTTTGAGTTCTTGAGCATTTGGGGGGGAACCGGGCTTTGAAGAAGGTGTACTATTGCATCCATCAAATGTGGAAGATTGACACTTTAATATCCCTTTCAAAGGCTTTTTCTCAATGGAGATTGTATTTTTACTATTGGTTTCATTGGTAGTAGAAGAAGATGTTGATTTTACGTCCCCCTCGGAAAGGTTATTTTTTGGTGTGCAAATCGTCTCCTTTTCAATGAAATCCATGGATGATGCATTGCATTGATTGGTTTTTTCCACGTCTAGAGGAAATAGACATTTAAAAATCCCCTTCATCAATGTCTTTTTTGACTCCTTGTTTGGATAATCATCATCATCATCATCCTCGCTGTTTGTCTTTAGAGTATCTTCACTCTCATGACAAGCATATGTTTCATCATCCTTTTCACAAACAAACACGTCTTCATAAGAAACGTCTTCATTTTCTTCTTTGCCCCAGAAAGAATCATCATCATCATTATGATCATCATCACTACTGTCCAAACCATTATTGGTTTGATCACGAAGTTTGCCTTCATTCACTTTGAGCAAACCTTCAGAGAAAAATGGAAGGGATGCGAGATTCTTGAGAAAAGAACCTTTCATTGGTGGAGAAGGGGTAGGAGAAGGAGAAGGAGAAGTCTTTACTTTTTTCCTCTCAACCGCGCTAAGCAAAGAAATGGCAATAATGGTGGAAATGAACAATTGACAGATTCCGCATTTGATCTGCTCATGTCTTTCAAACGACGAAGAATCCGTTAATCCAACCATTCTCCTAATCCCAAGAACTTTTCGCGCCAGATTGCCCAAGTCACATTTCTTGTACTTGTGGTTGTTGAAGAATCTTGAAGCTAAGTAACCAATGTCAGAATTTTGTTTAGTAAACCCCAATTGCTCAAAGGGAAATAAATCTCTCTTCTCGGGTATCCCAAAACCAACAAAGCATATCCTGTCATCAGCTAAGAACTTCAAGATAGGATCAGGTAAAGCTTCCCCAGAATGAAATCGTAGGATTACACACCCTAACCCAAAGCATAAGAAGACCAACACAATGTTGGGGTCGCGGGGATGTTGCATGACATCAATCCCAACAATCGGTTTATGAACCCTAATCTTACCCTTGGGGAAGAGAAAATCTTCATTGCACAAGTATTCAAAATCTTTAGTTTTGAAGGTGATACCTTCTAGCTTAACCTCAAAGCGGTTGGTCCTAAGATATACAGTACCGGCCATGTTATATATTGAGAAGGACGAGACTATTGATATGATGAAGACTTCAATGAATTGTTATTCCTGGTGATTTGTTACAAACGACAATTTTTTGACGTGGTGTGACTCGGCATCACAAAGGAAATAATTAGCAGCAAGAAATCAGGAAAGGTGTTATTGAGGTGCAAGGAAGTCCAAGAGAAAAAGTTGGAGTTATAAGAGGTCAAGCATTGTTTCCCTAACGCCGCTAGAAAATGCACATATAAAACTTTATATTTTAATTCCCTAAATAAGAATAAATTTTATCATTTTACTCCTACCTAGTCAATTGACCCATGCGTTGCATGACAGAAATCGCTTAAAATGTACTACATCCGTCCCTTAAAATTTTGTTTTCTCGTAAAAGATTGGACCATGATTTTGATTATTAGTATAATAATACAAAAGTTACAAATCCTATACTTTTTTTAAAGTACTTAACAAATAACATTTTCATATCATTTTTATATTAAAAAAAAATTCAATAAAAATATATAGTTGGTCAAATTTTTAAAGATGACAAAATTTTAAGAGACGGAGATAGTAATTCATTTGATAAATAATGATTTTTTTTTAAATGTATAATCAAGTTCGAAAATAGAAAATGTTTAAGAATGAAATAATTCATAACCAAGATAAAGATGTGTGCAATATTTCTTTGTTTTTTATAGAGAAAATGACTTATATTAAAATAATCGAATCCAAACAAACAACAACAAGACCAGACACAAGAGACAAGAAAGAAGGAATAGAAGGAACTAGCTAGTCAACCGGTTGAGCTCCGCATCGATCCTGCATCCTCCTCCATACTCAAGCGCCGGTGCCGGACTCTAATTTCATGATTTTTGACTCCAAAGAAAACAACTTGACACCCGACATAATTTCATGATTTTTGACTCCAACACCCGATATAATTATACGACTTGAGATAAAATTGAGACTTATGACACCTTAAAGCTTGGAAAACTATCAAATGCGTGTTGAAAAACGAACTTACCGGCTAGAAGAACTTTAGGTGTCAATCCCAATTCACCTTGTCCCATC